GTGTGTGGATCTTGTTGGAAGTTACCGCTGTGATTGTAAAACAGGATATTCTGGAAACAATTGTGAAACAGGTGACAGTCACTTATGATATTGTAAGAGAAACTGAATTCATAGAACCATGCATAAAATAACGTGAAAAGTAACATTTATTATTTCTGATGAAGCTAGTTGCAAAGAAGCATTGATTTGAATAAGGAATAGATAGATTGATTGATTCGAACTAGGATTTGCCCCCTCAAATAACAGCTATCTTCATTCAACAAATTTTACTTTCTTTCCTTTGGCTTTTAGCCCACGTCGCGATTTGTAGAGAGCTGCCTGCAAGTAATGGATTGTTCATGTGTACTACCGTCTGACATTGATTTTGTTGCAAGTAGTATTCTGCTCATGCGCGTGTAGACGGAGTTGTGTCCACTCAGGAGATAAACGGAGGCTCTTTATCAGAGCTCAAGGAAAACGGAATGTCATCGAAAAGTGTCATTAAGCATTTCGGCAATATCTCAAAGAAAGAAGATTGGATAAAGACTCACTATCAAAAAATAATTTATTTTTTGCTCTTTGTTTTTATATCACTTCACGAGAGGGCAGTCTGCACTTCCTGTGTACCTAGAATAATTGAGAATATATAGCAAAATTCAAAGTATCCTTAAAACAATAGCAGTTGCAAGGACATGTATGTAAAATAACGATAGAAAATGTTTTGAACGGTAATTTTCAGATATTAACGTGTATGTGATGAGGATGTGATTTGTAACTTACGGCTATAAATGCTAATTTTCAGATATCAACGAGTGCTCACCTGATCCTTGTCAAAATGGCGGCACATGTGTTGATCTTGTTGGAAGTTACCGCTGTGATTGTAAAACAGGATATTCTGGTAACAACTGTCAAACAGGTATGAACTTAACAATCAGTTTTTTTCCCGTATGATTAAATGTCCCATTCTGTTTCAGTTTGCCACTGGATGATCTTAGAGCGTCTAGCTATTACTTAGGAAGCTAGGTGCAAAGAAGCATTGATTTAAATAAGGAATAGATTGATTGATTCGAACTAGAACAAGACCATTCAAATATAGTGCTTGTGACTAAACTTTAGATGTCCAAAACAGCTATCATCTTTCACTGAAGTTTTTCTTCCCTTTGGTCTGCACCCCACGTCGCGATACATTTGTAGATAGCTGCCTACAAGTAATGGATTGTTCATGCGTACTACCGCCTGACATTGATTTTGTTGCAAATAGTATTCTGCTCATGCGCGCGTAGACGGTAGTTGTGTCCACCCAGAGGATAAAGGGAGGATCTTTAGCAGAGTTCACGGAAAACGGATTGTCAACCAAAAATGTTGTTTAGCATCTCAAAGAAAGAAGATTGGATAAAGACCGACCCATCAAAGGATAATTCTTTTTTTTCCCTTTTTGTTTCTATATCACCTCACGAAGACAGTCTGCGTTTCCCTTGTACCGGAAATGATTGAGAAACTATGAGTAATTTTGAATGGCAACTTTTAGATATTAACTTGTATGTGATGATGAAGTGATTTGTAACTAACTAGCTATGAATGCTTGCTTGCTTTTTTTTTGTACGTAATCGATTATCTGTTACTGATCTTTCAAAGTAAGTAAGCAAGAAAGCAAAGTTCTTTATTGGGAAAGGAAAAACTCTTTTTAATTTCTTATAATTCAGGAGCTTTTAATTATCGAATAGATGTAATGGTTTGCAACTTGAAGCTGTAAATGGCAATTTTCAGATTCCAACGAGTGTGCACCTGCACCATGCCAAAATGGCGGCACATGTGTGGATCTTGTTGGAAGTTACCGCTGTGATTGTGCAGCTGGATATTCTGGCAACAACTGTCAAACAGGTGACAATTCCCTAGAATGTTTTGACGAAATTATATCGAACGTGTAAACATCCCAGTGGGGAAGCAACAATAGAGACCTAAAGATGTAAAGTAAAAAAATAATAAGAGTTATGTACGTATGAATTTATTTGGTGCATCTTATAAATTAGATTCTTTTCTTCAAGGCACGCGAATTAAAAAATGACTGTCTGTCCTCTTATTGATGATAAATTGCGTCATAACATCGTTCAAGTGGCTGTAGAACCACGAGCCGCAGGCGAGTGGTTTCGCAGTAAACTTTGACAATGTTATGACGCAATTTATGGTATCATCAATAAGAGGACAGACACATGAAAAACTGACGTCAATTTGTTTCTTATAATAACAAGACCTCAAAATGGTCAAATGTCGGGAATAAATGAGGAGAAAAGACGCCGTAAACTTGCCTTAAACAAAGATAAATGAATTTTATTCAAAATGACGCCAACATTGTCAATAGCTCTTCTCGCTTTTTGATTGGCTACTTAAAAAAGTCAATAAAATCTCATTGGTTAAAAAGTTGACAGTTTGACAGCTGAAAGTTGAACTTGAAAGCCTGCATAAATTAAAATTTTATCCGTCTGTTCTCTTATTGATGATAAAAATGAGCCAATCAGCGCGCGAGAAATTCGACAGTTATTGTAACTAACTGTATTTTACCACACTTTCAGAGAGAGTGCAGAGACGCTCATCGTAACATAAATGGCGATCTTGGAGGTGTTTAGGAATGTGGTCAGACACTGTTTCAAGTGTTTGATAATTCTTGTCAATCGAAACTAAAACTAAGGAAGAAAATGGAGAAAAAGAAAATCGTAAAAATCTATGCTAATGAGAATAAAATATCCAAACTCCGTCACAGTTATGATTTCCTTGGTGAATTTCAATAAGTTTGAGAAGAAAAGATAATCACTAAATATAGGTGGTAATTCTTAATTTTCAGACACCGACGAGTGTGCACCCGCACCTTGCAAAAATGGCGGCACATGTGTGGATCTTATTGGAAGTTACCGCTGTGATTGCCCTGCTGGATGGATTGGAACAACTTGCGAGGGTAAATTGCTTTATCTACGCATTTCGTAATGTATGTTGTTGTCCCAAAACAATGAAACGCCTCAATGCTGGTGACCCTAACCAATCCTGTTGGAATCTTTAAGGTTTTCATTAACCGATCTATTTTTCTGTTCTTAATATTAGTGGCTTCTGTCCACCTTCATCAGAGCTGCTATGCTTAAGGCTCGTTATTGCTCGCGCTACAAGCCCGTGTGCTGTCGTTTTATTGATTTTCATCAACGGTACATAAGGGCGAGGGAGCGGTTTTCCCTCGTTTACGGTGTGGCTGTCCAAATTTAGAACAGAAAAACAGATCGGATTGCAAAAACCTAAAGAAATGTCTATCACCGATCGCAACACTAGATCCTGTGGGAACTGAACTCTTTTGTTATGTAAATACTTTTTTTTGTTCCAATAAATTTGCATGGCTGCTGGCCACAAGAGGGAAAACACTCTACATTACATTTCTTTTGTCCGATTTTGTTCTTTTATCTTCATTGACGACTGCAATACTAAAAAGCTTGTTATGAATAGCAATTCGTTTTTTCCCAATTTTGTTTGTCTGTAGAAGCCGAGATTGATGAGTGTGAAGAGTAACGTCTGAGAGCAAAGACTACAGGTAGAAGAACTTTATTCGGTTTTGGCGACTTGCCAACATTCTAGAATAATTACAAATTTGATAATAATCTGGCTAGGATTGTTGCCAGACAATATTTCCTGTATTGCTCACAGTTGAATATTTGTATGAATATAAGGATCATTCTGTCCAACCCTCATCCTTTCTAATCGTGGATAATTCCACTATGGTAGTTGCCAACTCGAAAGCTTTTGCTAGTTTGGCCACTAAACAATTTTCTCTTATGTAATGCAATTTTGCATTTTTTTTTTTTGATTTTGTATTTTTGTCAATTTAATGAATTTTATGTAACTAAAATAAGTTCAAATAAGTTGGCTTGAATTGAACTGAATTGTACATGTAACTCTAATTGTTTTTTGATCATTTGTTTTCTTTCTGTTTTCTTTTTATATTCACCTACCAATAATTGCCCATGTATAATATCTTTTCTATCCTCTGGACAATTTTCCTGTTTATACCATAACACATAACAGTAACAACTTACTTCAAGTGAAGTAGCGTTTTCCTACTAAGTAAGGACATTAAAATATAACAATCACTGTAATTTATAAATCTTGACACCACCTCCCCCTTTCGAATAAAAATTGATATAAGCATCTATAAAAAATGACAACGTCAATAGCTAAATGATAAAACACACTTACATTTAAGAAATTAAAATTAAGAGGTGAACAAAGCAACGTGCTGTGCAAATAACAATGTACCATGCCTAGTTTTTCCGGCAGTCTTATATTTGCTTTTGAAAGAAAACTATTTCAATCTAAAACTCAACCTCATTCAACTACACTTAATTTTCCTTGTTTGTAGGTTGGCTCGTTACATGTGGTAGTTAGCAGGCTTATAAATATGTGGATATGTAATACTTCAACAGCATATATGCAAGAAAAGAGATAAAGATGCACTTGCTGATATAGTAAACTTGTAGTGAACAACAAAGCAAAATAAATACACGAGTAAACTAAGCCTGTGTTTATCTTTTATTTGAGTTGCGAATTTAATGTTCTGTCTCAAACTGGTTATTCTCTTAAAGCGGAGTGTTGACCGATGATGTGATATCTCGGTTAGGTAATGATCCTACTATGTACTATTAATATGTAATCAATATGTAATTAGCATCCTTAATCTTTTAGGGTAATTAATTTGGCCATCGGCGATTCTTAAGGTGTCTTCATCTCGCTCACAATAAATTTTTAAATGAGCCAAGAATGATAAATGTAAACTAAGAGTGAAACATCAGATGCTGCTAAAGTCTCCCCACGGATAACTTAAATTCTTATCATATCAAGGTGATATAATTTTTTCAATGGGTATTATGTATGATAAAGCAACATGCTCAAAATTTAACCCAGGCCAAGCCTCGTTTATATTTGAGTGGAATTTTCTCAAACTCCGGACACCTTCGAGTGGCTTGCACGCGGGTACTCTTTTATCTTTGGTGCTTCGAGAATTTGATTTGGAAATTTTTTTTTCGATGTCGACACCGGAAAACCCCGTAAGCCACAAACCTGTCAAAAATGGAAAAATGCAAATTACATGAAAGGTTAATTAGACGGTTGCCTTTGTTCTAAAACTCATCGGCTAAATGCTTTTCTTTGTTTATGGGTTGGCTTATTGTTTTCGGCAGTCACCACATTTAATAGCAGAGCTCCTGCGCCCCGAAGTCGCGCGACCGGAGCCCGATACCTTAGAAAATTTGGTAACCCATCGATCTCAAAAATTTTGGTTGTCACGTGACTGTCCGTACGTACGTCCGTACACCTAGCCCCATACCGATACCTTGACTAATAGGTCATGTTATGATTAATTGACAGCTGTCAAAATAAGGTATCCGCTGACCAGTATGACGTGACCATATCGCGGGCTCTGGCCAAGAGCTTTTTTTTTTGAAGTTGACCGCGACCAGGTACTGGTTTTTCAATTGGATCGCGGGCTCAGGCCCGGTTATTACTCTATAGGAGAAGGAGTGAGTAGACGCAAAGGCAAAATTTTGGTGCAAATAAACCCCTGACGCGTTGTTGATTTTTCTCCCGACATATTCCTTGCACAATCGTCTCTTGGAAAGTCTGATGTATTGCGTAGGTAATTTCTGCAATCTTGGGTACACATTAGGTATAAGAGAGTTTACGCATGATGTTTACTGCAGACATTAAACGGCCAAGATTACCTCTGATTTTTTATTCGTTTCTTGTAATCCTCAAATAAATCACACAAAAATAGACCAATGTCTCCTACTATTTACCACAAATACAAATATTTTCACTTTACCGTTCAGACAGCTGAGAACAGACGGCAAAAGTTTAATTTTTGCCGTTTGACGTAAAGTCATTTTTAATCTCTCTATAGTTTGTCAAAATGTAACTGGAAAAAAATAGTGAAACCACTCGCTGAACAATCACGTGCTCACAATTGATCATTTTTTGAGTTTCTGATCCAAGAAAAACAAATCCTCATTTATTTATGATTAATTATTTGTTACCAGGATCTCCACTTTTAGGCTTGGCTGAATTTGTATATTGGGATATCTATCATCTAAAGTATGCATATCCACACAAGCGATGAAAACGCCCACGCTTATGTAGATCATTAAAATGGGTAAATTCGTAGGGAACGATAAAGTAAAAATGTTATGATTAAGCTAAATGTCGCTCTCGTTTTGCTTGTGTTGGATTGTGTTTCTCAAACACGCTCTTTTTCTGTTTGTGGGTTGTTGATTCATCTCGTATTCTGGTCGACTGATTATATTCTACTCATTCTAACTTATTTTGTTATCCTGTTTCGACTTCTGTTGACTGCTTTCGTCCTGCTTCAATTAATCACTTTTGTAAAGTGGTCTTTTTTCCAACCACAAATTTACATGGGAGCATTTGCTGGAGTATCAACCCTCTTCATCGCCGTTTTAGATATCAATGTTTCAGGCAATGGTTACGGCTTATCAAGTAATTTTCACTTCAGACTTAGGGCTTGAAGTTGCCTAACCTACGAGATTATCTTTTCACGAACATGCGACGTGGTTATTAGTGCAGCTAATGATCAACAACATACATTCGCATACGATCTTGACAAATTATGTGAAAATAAGAACGCGAAAGAAAGAAATGATCATTAAAAAAAATAAATCCTATTTTCCTATTTTCTGTTTACTTTTCTGAGGAATTCAGAGCCATACCTATTAAACTTCCCTTAAAGGGTTCAAAACTGAGAATTTAGCCATTTATTTTGGGAAGCTCAAACGAATGGAGAAGGGTAATAAGAAAACGGCATACGGTGTAAAACACATAAATTGAAAATATTCATTCAGTGCCAGCTGAACCAACACGATTTCGTGCAGCAATGTAAACTTAAAAATTACTTTAGATTTTCGCAAGGTTTCTGAACCAATTGAACGTGACGGTGGAGTGACACTTCTAAGTTCTTTTGACATAAAGTAAAAATGTTGTTAATACTGTCACGCTTTGTGTAATGGTCATTTTGCCGAAATTAAGAGAAACTTGATGAATGGCATTGTAAAATCACAAATACAATTCAGATACGTTTCATAAAGTAGCTTAAATTTGTCTTAATTCATCTTACAATTTAAAACCTCTAGGATTAAATCGAAATTTAAAGTAAAGCGTGAGCCGTGTAATTTATTTACCCTTCAAGATTATTTCGCGACAAAAGTTTACGCGGATGAAATTGTAATTAAAAGATATATAATATTATTTTCGCCCATTGAAATAATTTACTTATACGAAATGGATCTTAATAGAGGCCCTATTTTACTACTTTACCGCGAGTGGGTTTCTTATAATTAGGTTCTTGAATGACGTTAATGAGCACAGTGCTGTGATAATTAATGGTGCTCAAAATCTTATAACATGCTTTACTAATCTTTTCTTTACAGCAACAGGTTAAGAGTCATTTCGATAGCAATTGAATCAAAAACATGTTTAAGAATTGTTTAACAAGAATCAAAACGCTTCTGAAAACAAGAAATAACTTTTGGCTTTTGTGCACGTAATTGGGATGCAATGTTTTGACATTCCAGAGAAAAAATTGCATTTAGTGAAAACTTAATAAACGTTCAATACAAAGAATATTAGTTCAGCTGTTAGTAGCATTCGTTAGACCACATAATTTTTCTAAGCACCATCAAATACTTCGGCGTTAGCTGTTGAAAGACCAAAACGATATTTTGCTAGTGAGTGAAAAGGGAATACAAAGGTACGTTGGTTCTTCTGATCACTAAGGTCTATAAAGGATCAGAATTCATTATTATACCTTATTTACGTGATACCACTAACGAGCAAGTAAGCTATTTTCACGTACGTGCAAAGATTTAAAAATTCTTGTATAGAATATTCAACACGAAATCCTCCGAATTTGGTGCTGTTGTGGTCATGAACGACAATAAATTTACTATATCGCCTAGTATTAGCCCCGATTCGGTAAATATACTTGATGATCGACAAAGGACATTTTATTCATGTGTTAAGAGATGAATGAATTGTTTAGGCATAACTTGTGTTAACTGGATCTACGTCGGAACTGCAAAGCTTGTGTGGATTATGTGCTCTGGGCTTGTGTTGTAGTGTTACGGAGGGAACGTCATTTCTGCTCAATTCCATTTTAAAGACATTTACCATATCGTGACATAAACAAAAAGTAGTATTAATTTTAAGTGTCCAAAGACTTCTTGAAATGGACCACTTTTTTCAACTAACACTAAGATAACGTTTTTGGTCTTATACATGCACTGAACTAAGAAACATAAAAACTATGCAGTGGACATCATGATATTTTTCTTTTTCACTGTGGGGAATTTAAACTACAGAAAAGCTAGTTAAAGTTGGGTAGGGTTTTTGTCTTACACATTTCCAATCATATCAGGTGGCTTTACTTATTTAGTGTGCCTCCATGACAGAGGAAAACAGTACGTGAAGATGTCTTCTTTAAAGTTGTAGCTGTGAAAATGAACCGGGAAGGTGTCCTGTGAAATTTGTTCGTGGTTGTGATTGTCTTTTGCTTTCTTTCATGTTTTCTTTCATGCTTTCCATGGCATTAAAATTCGGATTTCTATCAAAAGCAATGACTCCGCAGAAGACAAGATTGGTAATGGAGTTACGTCACGGTTTGCTCAGTCATCTTGAAAAGTCTAGCCTAAATTTTTCAAGATCCTGGTTTGCAATCCGTGTTAACTTCTCCTGTTCCTTTATGATTCATCATGATCTCTTACCCGTTTTTCTATCTTATTAAACTACTATTTTCAGGTTTTCTTCGATTTAAAGGTACTTTTGTACGTCGCCAAAATAACTCAAAATTCTGCGACTGAGCTCCTTTAAGAGCACGCTAGGACACAAGCTTTAACAACGACGTTTCATTAGTTCACTTGGACAGTAGACTGATTTTGATATAACTTATGAGAAGATACATGTAGGAATAAAACAGCGAGAAAAAAAACTGCATCACAACCTTAAGCAAAGAGTCGCGCTACAAGAATGATAATACCTTGTTTTTTTCACGCCAATCAGATAAGAAATGCCATGCACGTTTTAAACTCTAAAAGCGCCCTGTGACCCAAAAATCAGTTCTAATTCAAAATCACACAAAACTAAACGAAAGAATAGTAAGTGGATTGATTATATTTTCACCTTGCCATGTGTGGAAGAGCTCTAATTGGGGAGCAAGCATTTAAATTAGTTCATTTTTTCCCTCCATCTGTCTTTTTCGTGATCAAATGAAGTTGGAAGTCCAACACAAAATGTTTAATATTCCTTTGTATTTAACATAGCGTTTTCTTTTTTTGTGAACATGAAATTCCTCAACTATGTTGAAAAGTTGGTTCATCCTCGGTGTAAGTCAGTACCTATAACACTTACGAGTGTAGAAGGTATATGCATCGGTGTATCTTCATTTTAAAATGCTTGAACAGTATAATTGATTTTACACTTTTTAATATTTGTTATCTGCCATTTTAACCTGTATATTATAATTTCTATTTTTGCAGTTTTTTTTTAAACGCCTATTTACACATTTTTTTGTAACGTAGGACCGTTCTGAAAACCACTACTGTGATGAACGCACCCTGCTTAAAGATTATTGTCGTTATTATTATCATTATTATTATTATTATTATTATTGTTATTGTTATTAAAAACTAAAATCAGTATACAAGGACGTCAACATAACGGACCCTAACTCTAACAATAACTACGAAAAGAAAAACT